GCGTCACAGTCGGTGATTCCGCGCCTCTTGCATCAGTCATGGAAGTCAGCGGATGACATTCCCGAGGTCTTTGTGCCTTGGATGCGTTCGTGGGTGCAGCACCACCCCACATGGAGATACGTCTTTTGGGATGATGACGCCAACCTCGCGCTCTTTGCCAGACACTACCCGCAGTATTATGCCGCAGCCTCGTCCGTAGGCAAGATCCACCTCGCTGACATGGCACGGTATGCCCTTTTGCATCGCTTTGGCGGCGTGTACGTCGACTGCGACTTTGAGAGCACGTTGCCGCTCGACGACTTGATCAACGAAGATCTCTTCTTGAGCACCGAGCCGTTCGTGCACGCTGTGCTCCTCGAGCGCGCCGACGACGCGATCCTCTGCAACGCCGTGCTGGCGTCCCGTCGCGGCCACCCTTTCTGGCTTGAGGTGCTCGATGCGATCTTGGTCAAGTTTCAAGCCGGTGGCGCCAAGCAAGACCCTGTCTCGCTCACGGGCCCGCGCCTCGTCGAAGCCGTGTTCCATAACTTTGATGCGCACCGAGCTGGTGCGCGTGTCACCGTCTTTCCCGAAGAGTACTTTTACCCTGAGATTGCGTACTGGAACCTCGGTCGGTTGCTGCAACTTTGCCGCGATCGTCTCGATCCGCTCGGGCGAAAAGCCTGCAACTGGTTGCGCGACCACCCCAAGGGTCTCCACACAACCAAGACGCATGCTGTGCACCATTGGCAGTGCACGTGGTGTCGCGGCGACGTCGGACAGGCGGTGATGAGCCTCCGCGCCATCTTTCCAGACGTCACAATCCACCGGCCTCTGCGAGGTGATGACGACGACGCGGTGCTCTTGTGACCGGGACGAGCAAATCGCTGCAAAATTGAATGATTTCTATTCGACCCCAATTTCTCAACGGGATCGATATATTGATAGATAGCAATATTGTATAACTTAAAAATCGACAGCGGAGGGTTTACGACCGACCGTACAGAACGCGGAACCGCTTCAGCAACTGGATCGGCGACGCCACCGACAAGAGGTTGATCACGTACGCCGGCATGTAGCCGCCGAGGTCCATGTGCACGATCAGCGTCACCGAGCACGACGTCGGCGTCATCGGACGAACAATGTACCCCGACACGTGCGTGTGCGCGCGCACAAAATGCTTGTCGACCGGCACGCTGTCGTGCTCGACGCTCTTGGTGCCAATGACGATGGACCCGTCGTCGAGACGCTGCTCGCTCGTCACAACAAGAAAGTCGCGCGCCGTCGTCGGAAACACCGGCTTGGCCTGCACATACCGGATCGTCTTGGTCTCGGCCGGGTTGAGCGCCTCGATGATGCGGCAGTTGTCGGTCATCTCGTCAAAGATGTGCATCTGCTGTGGGTCGTTGAGCTTGGACGCGAGGTCGTTGGCGCTGCAGTGG